CTTCAAAACGTTACATCATTGATATTCGCATCTTTATCGCTGAGTTGTGCCAACTTGATGGGGTTGGGGAGGATCCAGGAGACAACTGGATAGAGCGGGGAAAGCCTATCAATCCATTGAAGAAAAGAGGAGAAAGCGGCGCCGTCTAGAGCAAAAAGAGAAAGTTGGGATCTACTTCTTAGACTGATCAGGGTAGCCAACCACCATCTTCTGTAGGAGGAACATTTGCTATGCTTTCTATGGAAATTCGGCTAATTCACGACCTAGTATGATGTTTTAAGCGTCAATACCACACAAGAGGGGGGGAGGGGGTGATTTGTGTGGTACCCAATTTTTGATCTACAAGAACCAGGTTCTTCTAGGTGTTCTAACTACTACTATTTGCGGAATTAAAGTACATAAAATAAAGAACACAGAGATTTTTACGTGGAAAACACCCGGCTCAAAAGGTGAAAAAACCACGACCTACGACTTAGTAGGATTTTCCTCAACACTTCACTAAATCACTGAGCCAAAACAACATTTACAAAACTCTTTGTAAACCTAAGGATTACCTCTAATCTCGTTGTAGCAACCAGCCTCTAACTATTGCGACAACTTCAAGTTAGCCTATAACTTGAACTCTCAAAGTACCTAATACAATTGCTTCTATGAAAGATGGAAAGGTACAACTTTAAACCACCTACTACAATTGAACTAGAATAAGAGAAAACATAATAGAACTGAATATTCTATCTCGTTCAAGTAGCTACAGGAGTTCACACTCAAATCTCACATAAATTGCTTGCAAAATCTCCTTGCTCTTTTGCTTTCAATTTAGTTTAACTTCTTGCATATGTGCAATACTTGTAAAAGAGAACAATCACTGTTATTTAATGAGTTAGTAATTAGAGTTCGATTGAGACTCAGTTGTTGATCTTCCATCGAAGTTGAGTCCTTGAACAACATAAACTCCAACACTATCTTTTATCCAGATTGTGTTCTCTTCACAAAAGGAGACTTTCTCCCCTTATCCAATATGTAACCTTTTCGATTAGATCAGGAGATATTGCTGCTTGATCAGTGGGACTTATCTCCTTCACGTGCATCTCACATGTGTAGGTTGATCATGATTGTGCTTCACATGATGGACCTGGTCCATGACTGAGTTCATTTGTCATTCTTCAAAGCTTCACCTGTTCTTGGGCCAACAAATTCCCCCTTTTTGTTGATGACAAACTCTGTGTTTTTTACTGATTCAAAAACCTGTAAGAACTCATCTTAACCATCAACACTAGACTTAGAAAATTTACTTCTCATCAAGGACTAGGTTAATTAGGTTATAAATATCACTTATTCAAAATAATGGGTAAAGCACAATATCTTCCCCCCTTTTGGTATCATCGAAAAGTTGCATACTTAATGTGAATCCCAGATTTTAAAAGGTACTCATGGCCACTGGGGCAACTGCAAGTGAAACCATGGTGCAATTATCAATAATCAACAAACATGTTTAAACTATTAAGATCAGAATCATCATAGAACAAGAGAAAATAGTTGTTGTCATTGATCATGATATGTTGCCATTGACAGTCCACAAAAAGAAAGAAAAACTTTCAAAACATGAGCAAAAACAGAAAAATCCTGAGGTTCACTGGGGTTACTATACAGGTTCAGAAGACATGTACTAGGAGACCTAAGGCTTGGAGGAACTAGAGGGTTGAGTCTGGAGAAGGTTCAGCATATTCTGAAGGATTCTATCACTCTTCTCCTTTTCTTTTACTAGCTCAGTTCTAAGGCCATCCCTCTCAGTTTCCAATTTAGCCACACGAGTCTTGAGCCTAGCAATTTCAGCATGCTTAGTTCTACATTCCTGAACCAAAGTCCTAACCTTGTTGTTGATGGGTGTCTTCAGAGATGAACCAGGTTCAACTAGCATGGCATTGATTGGATAGTCACAAGCAAGAAGAGTCTTAATGCCAAAATGTTCCTTGCTTGATGCCATTTACCATTTGTTCAAAGGCACTTTCAGCCTGTCCAGAACAATGGTGAGTATGAAGCCATATGGAGTAGCATGAGCCTTGGAGCCATTGATGACCCTGTCTAGCAATTTTACAATGAGAGTAGGCCAGTTGATCTACTTTCATCTCTCAAGGCACTCCATAAGAACTAGGTCCATGTAATTTGCAGTATGTCTTCTCTCTTGTCTAGGCAGTAGGCACTTGTTGAAAAACTCAAGAACAACCTTGTGCTCAGCTCTCATCTCACTCTTTTGCACAGCCCTGGCTTCATTCACATTCTCTAAATCACAGAACCTCTTGGTGATCTTAAGAGCAGTAGGTAGGGAGTCCAGGCATGACCACCTTTGCTTAGTGTAGTCATCAAACCGTTCAGAGGGTATATCTCAAATTTCTCCCAGTTTCGCAGCATCAAATTACACTGGGACTCCTTCACCAAGCTACTGACAACCCCAACCTTAATGTCAGCATTAGCCATGAACTCAATTAGTTCATTTTGGCTAGTCTCGCATCCATCTGAAGGACCATTTCCTTCCAACCTTGACCAGTTAAAGAGTCAACCAACCTCATCATCCCTGGTTCCACCAGGTCCTTCAACAATCTACCTTTCAAAGTTTTTTTCCTGACAAAGATGCCAAACTTGTCCTATTCCTTCTTAGATTCCTCTTCTTCTTCTTCTCCACTCCACTCTTCATCATGTGAAACTTTTGCTTGTTTAGCTTTCACTGCAGATCTTGTCCTCTTGGCTAGTGAGGGTTTAGTAGACACAGGTAAAGAAGAAGACTTCTTGGAAGAAGTCTTGGACTTTTTAGGTTTTGGTGTAGGAACCTCCACTGTTGTACCCCTTTCTTGATGGACCAGTTCCATCTCCTCTTCCTCTACAACCTCAGAGGATTCTGCAACCTTTCCATTTCCCTTCTCCATTTTCTTTTTCTTGCTTTCTTCTAGAGCCTTTTGTAATTCAACTTCACTTTGTTTTACCATGCTTCTTGTGGCTCTTCCCTTAGGCAATGAAGAGGCAGCAGGTTTTGGGGATGAAGTTTTTATTTTCTTGGATAGCTTGGGAACATTGGGGGCTTTTGGTGTGGTAGCTTTGCGTTTCTTTGGGTCATAACTTGTCCCAATCTTTCTCAGTATATCAGCTAGGGTCTCTTCAGTAGATGAAATGGGTTCATCTTTCCTTTTGCTCAGATGAACCAACCCCTCAGCAGCCTCCCCAGACCCACTTCCTCTTGACTTCATGCCACTCTCTTCTAACCTCTCTTGTGCAACCCCACATATAGCAAGAATTGCTCCCCTCCCATTTCTCCTCTCTTCACCACATGCACCCTCTCTCTCTTTTTCTTTTTTAGACTTCTTTTTACGTCCACTCCTACTCGTCTCAGCCAACTTAACATCCCTAATGGGTCCAACTAAAACAAACCTAGTTTCAAAGTTTTCAACAACAGATGTACTTACCTCAGTAGGGAATTCTTGAGTTTTCTCAGAGTTAGAAGACCCATGTCCTTCCCCCTCAGTCGCTGATTGAAAGGATTCAGACTCAGAACTGGAATCAGAATTTGGAGCTAGGCTTTCTTTCACTTGGATAGCTTTCAACCTTTCATTTAAAACCTTTCTCAGAGCCCCAGATGCTACAGTTTTTCGAGCCAACATTTTCTGCCTTCAAAACCTAGGTTTTGGGGATTCACTAGGAGGAGTAGATGAGGATGAATTTGAGGGTGATGGTGGTGGAAGAGAACTAGGATGATCTTGTGGGTTAGACATTGTTTTTCATTTCTTGAGTTAATTTGGGAATTTTGGAGAAGAGAGCAATTAGAGTTGAAGAAGAGAATTTTTGACGGTTTTAGAATAATGAAAAAGATTAGAGATGTGGTGTATATTTAAAGAGAATTAGACATTAATTCAGTAACGGCAGCTTTTCAGGGGTCAAATAAAAGTCTAATCAAACTGTAATTCTAGACTTTTAATGATTATTTGGCTTCCCTAGATATTAGGCAAAACTCACGGTTTTAGAGTTCTAAATGGATGAAACTAGTTCAATGCTTTAACAGATAGAATTTTCTAAGAATTTGGCAAGTATAGGACTTCTGCTCATGATTGAATTGTTAATCTTTCTAATTGTGCAAAGTAATGAAAACATACCTGAGCTTTCATATGAACTCATATTGATGAACCATGTTCTTTATTTAGAATTCTCTTGAACATGCCTCAAATGCCATAATAGAAAAAACTTTGTAAGAGATCAGTGAGTCATATATACATGTCACAGGAGTATACTACTTAAAGTACGAGACTGAGTAAGAATTAATCTAGATATTCACAAAAAGTTAGAATTCCTAGCCAATTTTTTTTGTATTCTGAGCTGGACCTATTACATGATCTTAATCATCACTAATTCCAACCTGTTCCTCTCAAAGTTTTCTCTACTCAGTGCTTTAGTGAAGGTGTGAGCAATTTGCTTATCAATAGCATAAAATTCTATGGAGATTAGACCTTTCTCATAGTTGTCTTTTAAGAAATGGTGCCTAACATCTATGTGCTTAGTCCTTTTATGATGAACATGGTTCTGTATTATACTTATAGCACTAGTGTTATCACAGAATATAGGAATACAACCTACTTCTATTCCAAAATCTACCAGCTGCTATTTGATCCATAGCAATTGAGCACAACAAGAAGCAGCAACAACATATTCAGCTTCCGCAGTTGACAAGGCCACGAAATTTTGCTTTTTAGTAGCCCATGACACAAGACATGAACCAAGGAAGTGTGCCATACCTGAGGTGCTCTTCCTATCAACTAGAACCTGTATAATCAGCATCAGCATATCCTACTAGATTAAAATTGCTACTTTTGGGATAACAAAGACACAGATCAGTGGTGCCTTTCAAGTATCTTAGTATCCTTTTTACAACAGTCAGGTGAGACTCTTTAAGATTTGCCTGAAAGTGAGCACAAAAACCTACACTGAAAACAATGTCAGGTCTCCTAGTAGTAAGATACAAGAGTGAACCAATCATAACCCTATACAACTTTTGATCAACTGATGAACCAGGTTCATCAACATCTAATTTAGTGGCAGTTACAATGGGTGTGTCTATTTCTTTAGATTCTTCCATTTTAAACTTTTTGATTAGCTCCTTTGTATACTTCTGCTGATGGATCATGGTTCCATTTGGACTTTGTTTGATCTGTAAGCCTAAGAAGAAGTTAAGCTCACCCATCATGCACATTTCAAACTCACTCCCCATTAATTTTGCAAAGTCCTTATTTAGCTTATCAGTAGTGGCCCCAAAGATTATGTCATCAACATATATTTGTACAACAAGAAGATCCTTACCTTTTTCCTTTAAGAATAAGGTACTATCAATTTTACCTCTTTTGTAACCATGCTCCAGCAGGAATTTGGACAATCGTTCATACCATGCTCTTGGGGACTGCTTGAGTCCATAAAGATCCTTGTTTAACTTGTACACATGCTCAGGACATTCCTTGTTCTCAAACCCTGGAGGTTGTTTCACAAACACTTTTTCTTTCAGGAAAGCACTTTTGTCATTCATTTGATGAAGAGTGAATTCCATGTGTGCTGCAAAGGCTATGAGGAGTCTGATTGTCTCTAGTCTTGCAACTGGAGCAAAGGTCTCATCATAGTTTGTGCCCTCCTCTTGGCTGTAACCTTGGACCACCAGTCTTGGCTTGTTTCTTGTAACTGTTCCATCTTCATCGAGTTTCTTTCTGAAGACCCACTTTGTACCAATGACTGATCTATCCTTGGGTCTTGGAACTAGATGCCAAACTTGACTTCTCTTAAACTGATTGAGTTCACCTTGCATTGCAATCACCCAGTCTGCATCGTGCAAAGCCTCAACAACATTTTTAGGCTCAATAAGAGATAAAAAGGCATCAAAAGCACACAGATTCTTTAATTGTGATCTAGTTCTGACTCCAGATTTTGGATCAATGATAATGTTCTCAATAGGATGAGAACTTTGATACTTGTAAGGTTTCACAACCAACTAGTTTCTACTAGATGTTTCTCCCATGTTCTACTGCTGAGGGACAGGGTCATGAACAAGTTCTTTTAGGGGATTTATTTCAATTCCTCCTTGATTAGTTCCCCCTATCAGGTTGCCCTGGATGGAAGAACCTGTTCCATCACCTGTTCCTTCTTTTGGTGCCACTTTGACTTGTGCTGAGGTTTCGGTCAGATCCTTTACCAATCCAATGGCTTCATCTTCGTGTTCATGTCTCTCAGAAACAATGTTAGTTTTATCAAATACTACATGTATACTTTCTTCTACACACAAAGTTGTTTTATAGAACACTTTACATGCTTTGCTATGTGAAGAATATCCCAAGAATACTCCCTCATTACTTCTGGGATCAAACTTACCTAGGGAGTCTTTTCCATTATTTTGCACAAAGCACTTGCAACCAAATTCCCTATGATGGGATATATTTGGTTTTCTCACTTTAAGTAACTCATAGGGAGTCTTCTCTACAAGAGGTCTAGTCATACATCTATTGATAATGTAACATGCAGTGTTTACAACCTCTACCCAGAAGCTGTGGGGCAATTTACTATAAAGAAGCACAGTCCTAGCCATGTCTTCAAGAGTCCTATTCTTTCTTTCAACTACTCCATTTTGTTGAGGTGTCCTAGGGGCAGAGAAGTTATGATCTATACCATTTACATCACAAAATTCAACAAACTTAGCATTCTCAAATTCAGTTCTGTGATCAGACCTAATTGATGCAAGTTGATTTCCTAATTGTTTCTGAGTTTTTTGAACAAAGGCAGTAAACATGTCAAATGCTTCATCTTTATATGTGAGAAACAGGTCCCAAGTAAATCTAGAATAGTCATCAACAGGTACCATTACATACTTCTTTCCACCTCTGCTCATGGTTCTCATTGGACCATATATATCCATATAGACCAGTTCCAACGACTTGGTTGTGCTTAACATTTTCTTGATTTTGAAGGATTATATTACCTACTTCCCCCTTGCACAAGCCTCACAAACTTTGTCTTCCTTGAACTTGATGTGAGGTAACCCTATCACCAAGTCCTTAGAGACCAATTTGTTTAACTGATTTAGACTGGCATGACCAAATCTTTTATGCCACAGGAGGGGATCATTATCCATCACACTTAGGCAGGTTAGTTCATTTTCTGAGAGAGTGGACAAATATACAATGTAAATATTGTTAACTCTTTGTCCATGCAAAACAATCTTGTCAGTGGTAAGATTAATCACAAAGCATTTAGTAGAGGTGAATGCTACAAGGTTAGCTCTGTCACATAGTTGTGACACACTGATAAGGTTGTATTTCAAGCCATCTATCAAGTAGACATTCTCAATGGAGTGAGAGTCTGTCTTACCTACCTTTCCAACCCCAATGATCTCACCTTTCTTCCCATTTCTAAAGGAGACATTGCCTCTCTTTAAGTCCTTAAGTTAAAGGAACTGGTTCTTGCTTCCAGTCATATGTTTTGAGTAGCCACTATCCATGTACCATATTTGGCTTCTTCCCTTCACTTGGACCTCTTGTTCATCATCTTATTATCCTATGGCCATAAGATCTTGTTCATCTCCAGCTTCATCTTCTTATTCCTCATCTGATGTTTCTCCCTAGGCAGCAACCATAGTCTTTGTTGATCCTTTGTTCCTATTTGGTTGAACCTGTTCCTTCTTTCTGCTCCTTCATTCAACCCTTTCCTTCTTCCACTCAATTTCACATTAAGGGCATTTCTTAATCATGTGATCAGTCTTACCACACTTGTAGCATCCCTCATTGGTCTGTTTCTCAGAAGCCCTTGGTTTGTTGAAGGTTGTACCTCTTGAAGAACCCTTTCATCTCATCAAGTAATTTTTGAAATTTCTAGTGATCATAGTCATTTCATCATCCTCCAGATCTGAACCTTCAGCAATTCTGAGAGCCAGACTTCTTTCCTTCTTGGGTGCATCCATTTTCATGGTCTGCCTTCTCAGTTCATAGGCAGTAAGGTTTCTTATTAGTTCATCCAACTTGAGGGTGGCAATGTTTTTTAATTCCTGAATAGCAGTGATTTTGCTTTCCCAGGAGACTGGCAGAACCCTGGTCAAAATATTCTCAACTTTGTCTTCTTCGAGAATAATCCTTCCAAGAGATTTAAGTTTATTTGTCAGTGTGGTGAACCTTGTATACATATCTTGGATGGTTTCTCCTTCCTTCATGGTGAAGTTCTCATATTGGGAGTACAACAGTGTTCCTCTGGACCTCTTCACTTGAGGTGTTCCTTCATGAGCCACTTGCAAAGTGTCCCAGATTTCCTTAGCAGTGGTACAACTTTGAATTCTACTATACTCATCTGGACCTAGTCCACACACAAGCCATTTCATGGCCTTAGCATTCTTCTCCCACTTCTTCAGGTCTTCAGCAGTGCAGTCAGCTCTAGTTTTTGGCACATCCACTCCTTCAACATTCTTCTTTGTAGTTGCTAGAGAGCCATCAGTGACTATGTCCCAGAGTTCATAGTCTTATCCTATGATGTGATCCCTCATCCTGTTCTTCCGCCAAGAATAGTACTGACCATTGAAAAGTGGAGGCCTAGTAGTGGATTACCCTTCCCAGTTTCTAGGTGGTGCATTTATGTTGATCTTTTCCTA